GAGTTCACTGCATTGCATCTGCAGTTCTTGCTTTAAGTGCACTGTTTGTGAAATTTTCCAGCATAGCATCTAGCCTGTCAAGCTTCCTTCAGGGAAACTAAACACAAGAGCCTGTCGGTCTCAGAATGCTGCCTGTGAAACTGTCAGTCTTCCAGGACAGTGCTGTACACTATCTGTGAAAGTGCCATTGTCTAGTGATTCTTCATAGCAGAGTTTACCCTTCACTAATGGCTGAAGTGAGATGGGAAGTATTATGAGTCCAGTGTTTATAATTCTTTTGCTGCAGATTCCTATGGAGTGTGTCATTTTGCTTAGAGTTGGATGACTCTAATTTGGATTGGATGGGTTGTCTCCCTATATCAAAGGGAATGATGCCTCTTCAAGTGAACTTTAAGCTCTTTTTTGAACATGTGGCATAGGATTCCTCCCCCTTGTTTTCAAACAGCCTCTTAATGTAGCTTTGTTCCTAACCAGCATTCCTTCAGCTGCTCTCGATCTGCTGGACCATATGCTGACTCTAGACCCCAGCAAACGTTGCACAGCAGAACAGGCCCTGCAGAGCGACTTCCTCAAGGATGTTGACCTCAGCAAGATGGCTCCTCCAGAGTAAGTGCTGATTGGCATTGCCCACAACAACCTGCCGAAACTGCCTGGGGGGTGGCAGGAAGAAGGTAATGAAGTGTGGGCAGTGTTCCGTATCACTGAACTAGTCAATTGAGATGGCATTCCTGGTTTCCTTTTTTGTCACACACTGACTGTATGACTGAGCAAGGCACTTCACCTTCTTGTTTTTTGGTTTTGCCCCTCTCCTCTGTAAGATGGTGCTTGTTGAGCCTTACCCTTTTCATGATTTTGAGTTGTTTTGAGATTATTTGATGGACAATAAAGAAGGGGAGTATATATAACTTAAGAACCTTTTCTCTGCCTGGCGGGGAAGTTAGTTAGGTCCACCTGTTAGTGGTACTTATTCTTTGGCTAGTAGAATAACTGATGGGTTGCTGTCACGCTGTCGTATGCCACAGAGCACACTACTTACGAAAACCTGCTCTGCCTCCTTTGGAAATGCATGCCAGAATGATGATAGGTTTTAAAATGTTTGTCTGCGTGAAAGATATTGAGGGCAGCCCTCATCACAAGACCACAGCATCCTCTCTTGGTTCAGCACAGTGTTCATGGAGCAGCCTGATCCTAAGCCCATTATCAGGTTTATGAAAAAATTGCTGTAGTAGTTGGATGTTCCCAAGCAATTCCCAGAACTTAACCCCCCCTTCCCTCCCCCCCCAAAACACACACACAGCAGACAACAACCCTTATGCTGTTGTGTCTGATTATTAAGGCATTCTTACTTAAGCAGCATGTATATACTCTGCTGTGATAGCTACTAAACTATATAAAGCTTTGAACAGAGAATCTAAAAATGTACAAAGGCAGTGAAATGGGAGGAGAAGTTCCCTCCTAATTCTGTGAACTAGACTCATTTGTTTTAAGAGTTGGGGGACTATTATCTGGTCCAGGGGTGTGCAAAATAGTGGATCTGGCCAGCGGCCAGATTCCATTTCCCAGCAGCCCCTGCCCACATTACTGCAGCTAGTTTCCATGGAGACCCCAGGAGTGTGTGACAGTGCAGGGCCATGGTTTTCATGGAGACTGGCCCCAGCAGCACTGGCAGGGCGCACAGTTATGCAGGGAGCTGCTCCGGGGCTGGAGTTGGGATCTTGCAGTAGTGATAGCATGGTCTGGAGCTGGGACAGAGCTGCAATCCACTGCCTGCATGCCCTTGCCAGAGGCGTGCTGGCAGGGGATCACAGCTCTGGACCCTGCTGTCTCTGCTGCAAGATCCCAGCTTCAGAGCAGCTGCATGCCCTGCCAATGCTGCTGGGGCTAGTCTCCATGGAAACCCTGGCCCCCCACACTGTTATGGCGCAGCTGCTCTTGGGGTCTCCCTGGCAACCTGCCACACTGATGCAGGCAGGAGCTGCTGGGAAATGGAGTCTGCCATGGGCCTGATCCAGCTGGCAGGCAGAACTTTGCTTACCTCAGATCTATCTAGTATTACTTTATGCATGTTATAGGCCACTCAGGTTCACCCAGTTACCCCTATGTGGAGCCCTACCTGAAAGCAATATGCATCAAAGCTAATCTAGCCCTTTTTTATTTAAAATCCCTTAATTAAAGTGATGCATATGCAAAAATGCTGCCTTACTAGTTTCAAGAGGATACATTCTTGCAGCATTGTCCAGAGGATCAATTTCTCAGCTTGTCTTTTTGGAGTACAGGTGGTTTGGCAGTAACATGCAAAGTTTGAATTGGATTCCTGGAACTCCCCCCCCCCTTTCTTTTTTCTCCGCTAAAACTTCTTGTTTCCTTCTAGCCTCCCTCACTGGCAGGATTGCCACGAGCTGTGGAGCAAAAAGCGGCGACGGCAGCGGCAGAGTGGAATTGCAGTAGAAGAGCCGCCGTTGTCTAAAGTTTCTCGGAAAGAAACTACCTCTGTAACGAGCACAGACACTGTCAAGAACAACAGCAGCCCAGTGCATCCACCACCTGCCCCACTCAAGACCGAGCCCAGTGTTGGAGATGCAGTAGGTCAGTGTGGGCTCTAGTGTCTTCACAGGACTGGGAGGGCCCTCCTAAGCTTTCAGGTCCAGTCCCTGTTGTTGCAGGCAACACATCAGATGAACCTGGGCATAAACTTATCTTGGTCCATTTTAAATGCAATTAATTCTTTTGCATTCATTACTTGCATTGGAAGGCAGTTCCAGAACATTGCTTCTCTAGTGGTTGGTTTCCTGTGGAAACTTTGTCAAGTGCAGAGGTTTCTTGCTGATTTTTTTTTTGATGACGTCCAATTTGAATGAATAGTCGGAGTACAAGCTATTAGTACATTACATTACATACCTGACCTCTTCATATATACTTACGTGTGCTGATCAACACCTGTGGAAAACCATCAAGTTGCAAAGTACTTCGGTGGTGGGAAAGAGGTGGAGGAATCTTAAACTGGCAAGGGGATGGACTAGAAGACAAGAATTTTTTTCCAACTCCTTTGGAAAATTGTGTGTTATGACTAGAATTTTTGGAGGTGTGACTATATTGTAGACACTTGGGGCCAAATTGCCTATTACTCACTAAAGTAAAGATTTCAAGCTGCAGGACCATATGCTCTTCTCAAAGCTGTGCTGCTCTTGCTGATACCTAGAGGTTAAGCAGGTGCAAAGAAGTCATATTGATCCCTAGAAATATAAAGATGTACAGTAAACCAGTATGATATTTTTACAGTGTGAAAGTACCTAGGAACCCTGGCTGAGTCAAGACTGTTATGCTGGGTGCTGCACAGACAGTTACTGTATCTACCCAAATCCAAGACGACTCTAAACTTAAGATGGACCCCCCTCCCCGCCGCACCCCCACACACGCATACACACTCCCTGTTAGATTCTAGACTTGGAAAACTTACAAATTTGTTAGAATTTCCATGTCTAGAATCTCTGATTTTTGGAGGGTAATCTTAATACCCGCCGCTCCCCCAACTGCTGCAGGGGGGCAGATGGCGGTGGGGCAGATGGCAGAGAAGTCAACTGACCTGACCACCTACTCCTTGCCATCTGCCCCTTTCCTCCCCTTAGCACCTGCAAACCCAGCATGTCCTGATACCTACCCTTCTCCACAATGCCTGTACCCCCCTGCACTTGTCCCTTCCCCAAACTAGCCCCCCTTCCCACCTGCCTGCCCTATGTGCCACCATCCCATCACCCCGCCCTGCCAACCACTTACTTTCCTCTGGCAGCTCTAGCTGGGGCCCCATTTTGGCCAGGGACAGGGAGTACAGAGCACATGCTTCCTCCAGGCCTGCCCCAGCCATGCAACAGCTACTGTGGCAGCCTCAGTTTCAGCCCTGGAGATGGGGGCCAGAGCTGCTGCTGCCACTGTGTGGCTGGGCTGGGGACAGAGGCAGAATGTGTTCCATACTCCCTGCTTCTGGCCAGTGTTGTGCTCCAGTTGGAGCTGTGAGTGGAAGGTGTGGGGGGGAGCAGTGGCTGTGAGGAGCTTAGGGACAACAGCTGTGGCTCCAGCTCTACCCCCAGCCTTTGGGGTTGGAGTTGAAGCTGCTGCTCCCCCTTGTATTCAAATCTAAGATGAGGAGCTTTTTTTCCCCAGGTTGTGTGTGGGAGGGCTCATCTTAAATAAGTAAATACAATAATGTAGAAGGCAGTTCTGGCCTCAGATAACTTGCTTTCTGTATGTTGAATGGAATGTGACAGGTGGACAAAAGGAGTGGTATTTGGGTAACAAAGTCAGTGCAGTCAAAAGTTGCAGCTTACCATTTGTGTAACCAGGAAGAGGTGGGGTAGAGTTGGGAGTATTGTAAGCTTTTGGAAACTTGAAAACAAATAATACTGCAAAAAAAATAATAAGTTGCTCATTTTACTCCTAAAAATAGTCCAGTTTTATATAACTGTTAATTTGAGGGTTCAAGAAGAAGAGATGCTCTTTTCCTTGGTGCTGATGCTGTACTCCAGTTTAATGCTCTATGCTATTGCTGGGTATCATATTTTAGATTACACTTATCTGAGATGGACCTTGTCCTGATGAATATATCTGACAGCTTAACAAACTCCTTATCTGAAGAATTATGTTCTCCTTATCCAGATTTCTCCTGCCGTTTTAATTGGGCATGTAGATTTTTGCACTTCATACTCAGTTATGCTCCACCTCTCAGGGAGAACTTTTTAGTGCTGGAGGAAGTATTCTTGGTTGCATATCACTCTGAGGATCCTCTTGGGTCAGAAAGTGCTAGGTGAATGTAATATGTTAACAGCCCACAGTAACATTCAGGCAAGGGAATGGCAGTATCATTCAGACAGGGGTAACTGAGTGAGTGCCCAAACTGAAACCATTAGCAGCTATGCAAGCAAACTTGACTGTTGAATTCCCTTCCTAAAAAAAGAAAAAAATCTTTGCTTTTTAAGGCTTGAAGGAGGGGCTTCTGTCCATGATAAATTCATACAGGTGCTAGCCTCTTGTGAGCTTCTTTCTGTGACGCTTGTGTTTTCTGCAGGCCTTGGAGAAATCACACAGCAACTGAATCAAAGTGAACTGGCTGTTTTACTGAACTTGTTGCAGAGCCAGACTGATCTCAGCGTCTCACAGATGGCCCAGCTGTTGAATGTACACTCTAACCCAGAGATGCAGCAGCAGCTGGAAGCTCTCAACCAGTCCATCAATGCTTTGACAGAAGCCACAGCTCAGCAGCAGGACTCTCAGAAAGTGGCCGTGGAGGAAGCTGTAGAAGAGCCACCTGCTGAAGTCCAGGCACCAGAGGAGCAGGCAACTCCAGAACCAGCTAGCACTCAGGGAGATGTGCAGAATGTGCTGGCCGTTCTACTGAGTCAGCTCATGAAGACCCAGGAGACTGATAACCTGGAGGAAAGCAATGGGGAAAAAAGCAGTGAGCAACGGGGGCCAAGGAAAACCCCTACAGTGCATCAGGAGGAAAGCACAGGTAAATAATCCTGACCATTGCTTGTGGGTCTCAGGTACCAGTCATCCTTGTGAGGAATGAAAGCCTTCCATAAAAATGCATCTAATGTATCCCTGACCTTGAGGGGGCCAGCCCTCTTGAACACCAGAAGGGTGTTGTATGAAGGTGTTTTAGGGAGGAGCTGGGTGCCAAGGTACATCAGCTGTGGCCAGGTATTGTACATAAGGCCTCTCTGAGAGAGTCTTGCTCACTCGCTCCATGTTCAGCAGTGACTGGGAGTAACTGAACCTCAAATAAAACTGAGCAGTTAGGCAAGTGTTTAAAACTTTCTGGGTAGCCAGTCAGTCTAACACATTTCAGAAATTTACCAGCTTGCTTCACCTCTCAAGAACATATAAAGCCCTTTGCTTGAATGGGCAAATGGAATTCTGAAAGAAAGGGGCTTCTTGTAAATACTGAAAGAAACCCAGTGGGTGCATTCCTGGTGATGGATTTTTAGCTTGGTATCATTGGCCAGTATTGGTTTTTCACACTGTGTGCACGCATACGGGGTAAGGTCTTTTTGCACAGGACTTCAGAGACTCACAGTTGCCACTTCTTTCTAATTCACTGAACATCCCTATTGTCTGTCTTGCCCAAAAAAAGTTGTATGAAAAGATTTTTTTTAAAATGTGTAGGGGCTGGCTTAGGAGACAGTGCTGCAAGTGAGGTGAAGTGACAGTTCAGTATTGAAGAAGCTTGCACAACTGGCTTTCCTATGCCTGGTTTTAGCTAGACCTGATTTTCATGAGTCCTAAAATTCAACTAACTTTTAAAATTGAGCTACGTGGCCAGTTCTGAGAGACCAGAAGAGAGGTTTGTTTAAAAGAGCTGGCTTGTACCAATGGAATCCTGGATTTCCTTTCCAGAGGTGAGTGTCAATGTCTCTGTATCTTCTATTGCTGTCAGTAGAGCTCTATTAGGAACACAAGGCGAAAGTATCACCAGATGATAGAAGTGTCTCCTGCACATGCATTACATTAATCTTTTCAAAGAACTTATTTTGGCTTTTATACACAATTCCTTTCTGCAACACTGCTGAAGATGCTACTTTTCAGGAAGAGCTTTCACACTAAGTGTATCAACCATCGAAGCCAGTTATGATGATGCTTTTTACCCCTAGGTTACTGGATGACAGGTTCAAATGAACAGCAGCATTTTACATTGCTGTTAACTATGAAAATGAGACAGTCACCCAAATCAACTGCTTCTTGAAATTATGAGGAACATCCTCAGATAAAGTGTAGCCAATAAACAGAAAAATGTATTTAAATATTTGGAGGGGTGGAGATGGGGAGGGATGCTGTATGTTCATTCAACTTGAGCAGTTTTCAGGTCAAAAGGTGACTTTCCTAATAACCAGTTTTGCAAACGTTAACAACTCTAATTGCAGCTCAGCCAGTCACTTTGATGGAGACCAGATTGAATGATACTTTTGTGGCTGAGTTCATTACCAGGGCCTAGCAAGAGCCAGAATTGATTTTTGTTAGTAAATTCAGCACAAGTGACCTGAAGATACCCAGAGAAATGGAGACATCCAGGAGGAAGCTGCTTTTAATATGAATCACTTTCCTGATCATGACTGCGCTTCAGTTGGGGGCAGGCTGGGACCCTACAGTTTTGGTTTTTTTGTGATGCACATGAGCAAAATGCTTTATTTCTTTCACCAGTTTAGTAGCAGCAACACGTAGATGCCAGTGACAGAGTTGTGATGTTGAAGGTGCATGGTGTGAGAGAGTTTTGTTTCCAGAAGATTTCTCCTTTTGAGATCAATGTCCTTGTTGAAGTCTGATCAAAAAAGATGTGGGGAGAAGCTGATTGCAAATCAACAAAGAAAAATCTGCAAATTGCATCTGCATGAAAATATTTTAAACTAAGATTTTTTTTTCAAAAACTATTCAATGTGCACATGTATGTTAAATTCCTAAATAGCAACAGGGAATGATTATCCCCATTTCCTTTTATTTTCTAGCTTTGATCACAATCAAAATTTGTTCTTTTTTTCCACAGTATGTAAACACATTGGGTCTGTGCTTCATCAGTAAGATCTCACAGAGATAGCCTTGTGTCACACAGCTGCCAGTGAACATATTAATAGAGTATTAAGACACAGTGTCCCTCTGCAGCAGGAGGCACTGCTTTCAAGGAACATATTCTGTCATGTGGTTCCACATCTGTCTCCCTCTCCCTCTCTGCATTAGCCTTTGAACTAAGAGCAGGAGTTTTCTTCACAGGTACCCATGTGTTAGGACAGCTGTTGTTGACTAACCAGGAGTGTGGGGGAAGGGGAAAACACAGGGAAAATATTAATGGACATGTGCATTTATCTTTCAACAATTTGCCAGCTCTAAAACCTTCACTTCTTTCTCTGTCCTTCCCAGAGAGCAGGCTGTCTCCATTGGTAGGCTGTTTGTTTTTGTGTAAATGTGTAAATTTTATATATATAAATATATAAAATCTGTTCACATGATTTAAGATAGTGTTTAAAAGAAGTAACCCTTCCACAGCATGTCCTCCTCGCATTCTCCCACCAGAGAAGAGACCCCCAGAGCCCCCTGGACCACCACCGCCACCACCTCCTCTGTCTGAAGGAGATATCTCCAGTGCTGCACAGGAGCTGAACCCAGCCGTGACGGCTGCTCTGCTGCAGCTTTTTTCTCAGCAAGAGGCGGAGCCGCCAAGCCACCAGACGCATGAAAACCAAGCCTTGAGATCTGCAGATTACGCCAGATCGCACTCATCCAGGACTTACAATACTGAGGGGCCTGAGGGGGGATTTGGTGCTGATGAGCGGAATTCTGGCCAAACTTTAACAGAATCCTCAGCCCAGACTCTGGGGAAAAGCAGGACCTTTTTGGGCTCTGTGAGCCACCTTGGGGAGTCAAGCAATTACCAGGGCACAGGATCTGTCCAGTTTCCAGGGGACCAGGACCTCCGCTTTGCCAGAGTCCCCGGAGCATTACACTCTGGGCAGTCCTTTGTAAAAGCCGAGGGGAGCAACAACACACTGGTACACCCAGAGGCCAAAATTCAAAACTACAGCGAGCTGGGATCAGGGACTGCTGGTTCCAGTGGGGCAGGAACAGGTCACAACTGGGGTGCCCCCACCCAGGCTGCTTCTTATGGGAAGGCCTACCGTGGGCCTAGTAGAGTGCCTCCAAGGGGGGGAAGGGGGAGAGGTGTTCCTTATTAACAGACTTGAGTTGTGTGCTGATCTCCTTCCCTCCCTTGCCTCTCGACCTTTAGCGAAATGATTTTTTCCAGAGCAAGGTATCATCTGCATTTCAGCTACTGCAAAGCTCTATGTTGTATTCCTTGCTCGCTAGGCTGCTAGCAGGTACCCTACAAGATGCTGTAGAATCCCAACTTGGGTGTCCTGCTAGCAAAACCTCTCAGACTCGGTTAGTGACAAAAACCAGAGTTTTCTGCCCTAGCTGGTAGATGGTTAAAAAATATTTAAAAAAAGAGGGAAAATATTTGGAAGGAATAAAATTGTTTTACTAGCCTGGCACCAGTGTTTCTCAGAAAGAGAGAACCATCCTAGTGTTCAGGTAGGACTCAGAGAGGGTCAGTTTCACAAGGTAATTACTTGTTTTGTTTCTTTTTTTTTTTTTCAATCCCTTTAAAAAAAAAACAAACAAACAAACAAAAACCTGTTGCTAGAATGGCACCTAGATCACCTATACTGAATTTGGAGAACCAGGAAATGGCACTGGCTTGTGTTAAGAATTTTTATTAAGCATCTCCTTCTTTCCACTAAGCAGCTGGACACCCTTTTCCCCTCTTTTCTTTCCCAAGTCAAACCTTCTCTCCAGGTTACATGTTTGGGATGCCGTGAGCCCAATCTTGTTGGCTCCCAGACGCTAGATCACTTATATTTTGATCGTAGCCTTAGTGCGTTGGCTTTTGTGAAGGGTCTCTTTGGGTTTTATATATTTTTTCGTCTGCCATACATTTACAATGGAACTGGTCTTTTTAGAAGCTCAAGAGCCGAAGAGAACTCCTAACTTAAAATATATATCTTTGTAAATCTTCAATTCCAAAACATTTTTTAAGTGTTAAGGGAAAAAAGGGTTGGCTTTTTTTTTGTTCTAGTGGGGAAACTTTACCATCCGGAAGTGTCTTATGTAAACGTCAGTTGTAGTCTTGGAGCTGAAGTCTGTCTGACAGCATTTTAAATTGGGCTGGCAGCATTTCAGTACTTCAAGGGTTAACTGGCGTTAATGTATAATTTCTATTCACAAGTATATTTTTCTTGTCAAGGAAGTATTTACAATGAATTTTCTCCTCTTGCAGAACATTGCAATGTTGTCCATTTCAGTGAAATTTAAACAGGAAAAAAATGAATAAAACCTATGTATTTATGGGCTTTTTCAAGTGGGCCTTTCCTACAGAAAACATGACACATCACTACTTTTCATTTTAAAAATGACAGTGTTTGAAATATAAAATGGATTGGGATTCATGAAGCTGCGAGACCTTATTGCAAAAGAAATTTAGGATTTTCTTTTCTTTTTATATCTTAAAAAAAAAGTTAAAGACAAAAAACCCCCACACCCTTGAAGGTGATCCATCGTTACCTGGAGGGGGAAAAAATCTGCCTTAAACAGAGCCAAGCAACTGTGTAAGGAATAACTTTGCAGAGGAAGGAGGGAGGGATGAGGAGAATGCCTGTAATAATGAGCCCCTTGTATGAATAAAAAAAAAAAGAGCAAAATGTTATGTTGTTGATTCAGCAAAGACTTGTAACACGGTTTGTAAAATTCCAAATGTAAGTTTTCAGGGTTTTTTTTTTTCCCCCAATTGCCAGTTCATGCCTAATGTGCAAACCCCAGTACTGTAAGAACATACAGAGTGCACTAAAAAAAAAAGGTGGTAACCTCTAGACACTTAAATATACTCATACTTTTTCCTTGTCAATGTTCAGCTGCCAGCTGTTCTGGTATGTTTTAAGGTGCCCTGGCTTTTCCTCCCTAGCCCGTCTAATTTATATGGGGAAATTGTTACAGCACTGAATCTCTACAGGAAACGGATGCCTCCATTTTTTTATTTTCCTTTCTACTTTATCAGTTTCATCCATGGATTTGTCAGCCTTACCAGAAGCATTTTAAGGAACGTTCATCTGTTTGAAATCCCCCTCCAGTGTTACTCATCTATGTGCTTTTCTCAACTACTCATGGGGTACCAAGCCTCTGTCTTGGAGAGTTCTCTATGTGACCAGACCCCTTCAGCTTCCCAGTAGACTGTAGCCTCTGTATGTGGAGCAGCTGACAGGATTGATGGCATGATCTTTCCTTGCTTTTGTAGTGGAACTTGTCTCCAAATTCCGAAAATAATTGGTGCTGTTCCCTCCCACCTGTCCCTCAGTGAATAGAGAACTTTTGCCCTGCCAGATTTCCTCACCAAAGTGAATGAGTAGTCATTGACACTGTCTACATCTTCGTTCCAAACAACCTGCTATAATTATAGGTTATCTACAAATGTTTCAGCAGTCAGTAACTTTATGCAGGATGCCCTGAACTGTGCTGTGGATCTCAAAGGGAGTGATGATTGCAAGATGAATTTTTGTTCCCCTTTTGGGTATGCAACTTAAGATAATAAAGATCTTGTTTTTTAAAGTTTTAGGTTCAGGATTCCTGTACACACCCTTTTCACTTTTTTGGGCATCATCCAGTGCTACTTCCAATCAATGGAACCCACCTGCCTACTTCAATAGGCACTAAAGTCATGCTTTTTAAATACCTTGACATTTTTGAGAAAGACATGCTATTTATTTATGTGCACCTGGGTTATTTGTTTGTTTGCATTTTTTCCTTTTAGACATGGTGGGGAAACTTTTTGGCAGAATTAAATTTCTTGGAATTGACCAAGCTCCATCCAAAAACGTTTTTTCTAAATTGTACCATGAAGACAATAATCCTATTCAAAGATGCGACTCGCACAGAGGAGAAAATATGGCTTTACTTCTGATGATGGGAGCAGTAGGTGGACAGGGCGCACCCACTTGAGTTCAAGGGCACATATCTTTACCTTGTATTCCTGATCCTGGGGGTGGGGAGTCATGGAAGCCATTCATTTTTTCTCTTTCATTATCAGTATCTAAATTTATGTGAAGGGACTCTGTATAAAGAAGACTAAAGGATTTATACAGGAAAACCAATTGCATGTATTAAATTAAAACAGCTGGTGGTGCCAGTTAGAAAGTTCATCAGAAGGCAGTACACCCCTCTTTCTTTTTTTTCCTTAATATGGAATATCTTTGGGTTTAAATGCCAATGTCCAAAACCTGTAGCCACTGTGTTCCCCAACAGAGAAGTGTCTGATAAAACATCTTTATTGTACCTCTCCCAAGTTTCATTTTTGAGACTGAGCGCGCCTTTTTTTGGTTGTACCTTTGTCTCTGTACAGATATTTTGTAATATATTAAATTTTTTTTCTTTTCAGTTTATAAAAATGGAAAGTGGAGATTGGAAAATTAAATATTTCCTGTTACTGTATTGCCTTTTGCTCCATTGCATTGAATTATTATGTTCTTCTCTATAGTCTTTCACAGCTCACATGGTATCTTCCCTTCCTCCCCTTTTAAGAGTTATTTCCTTGTCCCCCTTGATACCCCACTCACCATTTTCCCCCGTCCAACTGTAGCTTGATACTGCATGGCCAGATGTACCGGTAAGTGGGTCGTCTCAGTGCTGGTTTATTTGGGTCAATGGAATTTGCCATAGCACCAAAACACAGCCCCTGTCTCTGAGCTTGTTTTGTGATGATATTAGTGTCCACGTGTTAGTCCCAGATTTCAGAGAGGATACTTCTCAGTTAAGGCAGGACCAGAGTGCTGATAGTATATCAGACTTCACTGTTCCCTGAATTTCCTTGTGTGGCATTGATGTGTTTTAAAAGTAGCACTGTTTTGTAGTGCTGAATATATTGGGGCTGTGGTGGCTTTTAGACAGGCTTTGGCAGGGTTGAGATGTCTTAATTAGGGTGATATTTTTGCCAACTGAAGCTTGAAACGGAGAAAGGGGGAATTTGGAAAGAACTAATTGGAATGAAGTGAATGGCAGGAAGGAAAAAGTGTGAAGTAAGTGATGAGATGGAGAAGGAATGGTCACTGGATGCATTGAGAGGTGCCCACCCACCCTAGTGCAACAAGCCAAATAGTAATAGAGTCTGTGGGCTGAGAGGTGCATGAACACTTGGAACTAGCAAATCTGAAAGCTCAGTGGGTGAGCAGGTTTAGCAGCCTTAGTTGCTGGCTTACATTGCAGAGCAAGTCTTCCTTTTAAAGATGTGACCCAGCAGGGGAGATGACACTGCTAGCTACTTGGAGCCAGGTTACAGCTGACCCTAGGAAGGAGATAATGGCTGTAGAGCGTTTCAAACCTAAAGAGGAGCTGAAACTATTGCAAGGTTTCCAGAACATGTGGAGATGTGGCTGGAATATCAAGAAAGGATTGTGGCAACAGCAAGACATAATGGGGAAGAGGAAGAAAAGCATGGGCTAGTACTGCTGCAGGCAGGATCTGGAGATTTAAAGAGAAAGCACCTCAAGAATCTATGTGGGAGAAGAGTGGAGGTGAAAGATGAGCTAAGGTTCATGGGACTAGAGTGGAAGGGCAGGAAGGAAGGAGGTAGACGCAAGTTAGTGGAATTGAATCCCAAGCATAGCAAAGAACAATTGAGAATTGAGTGTAAAAGAGTTGGAGTTGTCATGATTAAGAATAGATGGTTAATTTAGGGGCCAGGAGATGAGGCTATTTCTTACCCTTCTAGTTGTGGGTGTCAAGTAACTTCCCATTTGAGTCCTAGATTTATTTTTCCAAAGCACTCTGCTCCCATTCAGGCCCATCCATTAAGCAGTTCATTATTTTTCCTAAGAGATCAATACTCCATGGGGCCTTTAGAGGTAAATCTACCCTTTGTCCAACATAGGAAGACTTGCACCTTTTGGTAGTGTTGGCATGTCTTTGCTGGTGTTCTGCCCCACCTCTCTCCTGTTGGAACTTATTCCATTTACATGTCACACTTTGGAAGGCAGCAATAACTGTTTCCAGTGTCCATGCTGCGTGCAAAAAGGATGTATGGTACTGGTGCATGGCAACAGTCACAACAGGAGTCAAACCCCAAGTAGGACTTGCCCAGACCTGGTTGGTAGGGTTCCCTTGTGTAAGTTTGTAAAGTGGCAGGAATGCTGCGTACCAATAGAAAAAATCATGGTACAAATGAACTAACATGGCTTCTAAAGCCTGTAAGGCAGTCAACCCCGCACTGGTGCCAGAAGCTGAACAATGGGGAAGGCCCTTGCTAGTGCTCACATTTGTCAGAATTACAACGCTTGATCGTTCCATCAGGGTAGGGAAAACTTCCTGTTGAACCACCCTCCTGAGTACTTGATGATGTCCACAGACAATCTGTGCTTGGCCAGGAGACTTTCTTATTAGCAGGACCAGTGGGGAGTGTACTCCAGGTATGACTCCTGTCTGGCAACAGTGGGTGGCATGCAAGGTGTGGGCTACATTACTATGTGGTCATAATATCTAACTATCCGAGTGCTTGTTCCCTCTTCCTCCTGGACACACATCCACTCACTTGTCTTGCTGGATGGATATCCTGCAAACATGCATTCTCCTTCCTGGTAAAGGCTGAAATAGTTATGTTTCATCAGAACATTTCTGTAGATCTAGGTCCTGCTGGCCTTTCTTCTAGAGAAAATGGCTTCATCCTATGTGCTGTTTGCTCTCCTTACGTTGGTTTTGCATCCTTGCTTGTGACTTAATATGCATCTGTATGCAGGTGGCATGTGGTGAAGAGAGGCAGGTTTAGGGTTTCTTGCTTAGCTGTATGTTTGAGGTTGTCAACGGCAAAATTTTAACACTGCCGGTGATATATTAGTAAAGCAGACAAAGTGTGCTGTTAGCTGTATTGACTAATCCACCCTTCTGCTGTTGATCCAGGGGCATGAGGAAGCTTCAACTGTGTGCATGTTTGCTCAGGGTGCTACCAAATTGAAGCAGCTTGGAGACTTTTAAATGTTCAAAAGTGGCCCCTTGCCAGCATGATATTGCCCCCTTGTTCTTCCTTGAAAGGGCTGAAGATGAGAACTTTTAAAGCAATTCCTAACCTAGAACTAGGCCCCTTTTATGAGCTCTTTCCTTGGTGTTAAGAGATGCAGTTTGATTTCCGTGCAGACAGAACCAGGGCAGTTTCCGGAGAACCAAAGGAATCAAAGCATTAGTTCTGCCTGAGATCTTGTTTAGCAGCCTTGATTCTGCTGTTGCATCTTCAGAGCTTGGAGGCTTGCAGAAACCAGATTAAATACAAAGATTTGGAGAGGGGATTAAACAATTTTATTTAACTCCCCAAGAGAAGCTTCCAGGTGACACTGCCCTTCCTTTCTCTTCCTTGTTCATGGTGTCTAGGTGTCATAGCATAACTTGGTGCATCTGTCAGAGGCTGCTGGATAGCTCATAGAAATATCTGAGCCTAGCAAGGCAAACTATTTTCAGAACCTCCCTTGCTTGGCCTGTAGGCTGAGGTGACCTGGTATAAATTTGATGCCCAGGTTTCCCTCCACTAGACTCATTCTACACATTGAGAAGGCTGCACAAGATGGTTTTGGAGGATGTCCTCTAACTAGTGCCCCCGACTTCCTTTTTGGAGAAAAGGGGAGTTGTTGGACTTCCTTAAGATTACTACCCCGCACATCTCTTATTTAATTTTATGGCAGCAGCTGGGTTTGTGAGTAGGCTTAGTGGAAGGATCTGTTTTGTTGAACTGGGTCACTAATATGTATATGGTTTCAAATAAAAATGGAAAATTTAACTCTCAATACTCATAACCCATAGCAGTTGCCATTTTATCATCTGGAAGACTGCCCACTGTGCATGGATAGCTTTCTGGATATAGCATAGGCCCTTTTGGCATCTAAAAGTTGAGAGCTCACTTTGTCTTCTCTGGCCAAAATATTGCACAAGTGTAGATTAGTGGATTAATAAAGCAAGAGGCCTTCTTAAATAATATAGGACATGAGTGTTTTCACAAGGGAGCCATAGCAATCTAGCTTACTGCGAAGAACTAGAAAGGTTATTTTGTAGATCGATTAGCCTGCCCTCCATCAGACCACTAGAGACCAATGCCTTATTGTCTGATTCAAGACTCCTTTGTTTCCCCATTTCTGAGAAACTTCTGGCTATTGTAGAAAACCTGCTGAGCTCTAAGCCATTGGGAAGTGAGCTGTGTCTGCAGGCCATCTATTCTTGCACAGCTTTCCAGTAGTATATGCTTACTTGCTCCCTTTGGTTACATCTGGTGCCATCCTTCACTTCCGATAAGACCCAAACCTTGACTTAAGCCCCTGCCAAATGAGTAGGCTGGCAGGTGCCAAAGGCATAAGAGTTTTGGTGGAATGCTGTGAGGAAAGTTCCTGCACTTAAGTGTGTTTGCTTTGGGGGTGGTAGCTGAAAAGGTTTTTAAAAGTTATTAAAGCCTTATTCTTGTCCAGTCAAGCCCAGCCATTGGTATTCTGTTGTGTCTTGAAAATCAGCAGCAAAATTAGGGACTACAGGCCTGATCTTGTGCTCCTGTATTCAAGTAGTATTTCAGTGGGTTTCAGTGGAAGTCTTAACTGAGTAGATAGTGTAGGTTCCAGCTTTGAAAACTGGCTAGATCATAGTTGAAGAGAATGCTAATGGACAAAGGAGAAAAGAGATTTCAGAATGACTCTTCCCATCCAGTGTTGTGATTTGAGGCTCTAGGTATACATGCAGAGAGGCCGGTTGCTTAGGACAAGGTAAGGAAACATGAAGTTGAAATACCTAAGCAATATCTTATTCAAGCAGGATTTATTCCCTTTGTGAAGGGTTTGGTGCATTTTATTTTGTTTGGATCTTGCACATAATTTATTTCAAGAGGCCATGTCTGCTTTGCACAGAGCATGAACAATCATGGCACTTCCTCTCTGTTTGTGTGCACACAAGATTTTGACACACATCCTAAGTCAGAGTTACTAAGGAGAGTATATAAGAGGATTTTAATAGTTCTATCAAAGTGATCCTCATGAATAGCTCTAAATTGCCTACAAACAATGCAGAGAAAGTCTGCAATGTTCTTTTAGGAATATGACAATTGTAAGGTAGTTGAAATTTTGGCACTGAGATATTGCAACTCTGTGCTGGTTAGGATCCACCCTTGGTGTTTTGCATTTGTTAAGCAAAGGTTCCTTTATTAAGGGTGTTTAATGAAGTGTATGATAGCCATAGGAATCAGGTTTCTGGTCATAGGACTTGCAGCCACAGTGCAAACCATCCTGTAGTTATGCCCCACTACTGCCTTAAACCTTCTTTAAAGTTAAGGCAGTTGAATCTTTGGCCTGTTCAGTTCTAGACCTCTCTCTTGATGAAGGACACTTCCTTGTCTTCTGATCTCAGTAGATCAGGAAAAACCCATTCTAGTGTACTATAGGCATTGCTGTTTGCACACAGTGTTGAAGAAAGCAACT